GCACCTTTCAAGGTTGCACTTGCAACATAAATGATGCTTGGGGAGAGTTCTATTGGTTCACTGAACATCACACGGAATATGCTTGGGGTTCCATCGCAACTAAACGCTGTGTCGTTCTCTCCACAAACCAAGCCAGTCTCAGTGTTAATGATTTGCATTTTGACATTGTAATCACTGGGACCATGAATTGCACCATAAAGGCCCAAACCAACAACAAAGATACGCTTGTTTACCGAGAACCGAATCCGATCACTTGTACCACTATAACCCCATCGGTTTTCAACTTTTGAGAATCTCCTGACAGACTTCTCCCGGCCGGTCAGGCAACATCTTGGCTTATCAATGAAATTAACTTTTGGTTTGGGATTCACATGGAAATACAGAAATAAACTGACAATTTCTTTCTCTGTTAAGATACCAGATTGTGCTGGGCCTGTTGCAAAATCTTCCACTGGCATCAATGGGAAACGGATCTGGTACAAAGCCTCAGATAAGACACACCTAGAAATAGAATTAATTTTTCATCTATTTGCAGAGGTTGGGTTTTGGTCGAGGGTACAAAGTCGAGGGTCGATTTTTGTCGGATTTTCGATCATCGATTTTTGTCGGATTTTCGATCATCGATTTTTGTCGGATTTTCGATCATCGATTTTTGTCGGATTTTCGATCATCGATTGTGATTATTAATTTCAAATGTCAACAGTTCTCTAAGTCGTAACCACTAAAATTTAGACGTGAATCCTTGCAAAGAGCTCCCTTCCATACCAGAATATATTAATGATTGTAATACACGAGAGATCTGTATTATTTACCTTAGATTTGCTGGCGTTTTGTTCAATTCCTTTCGCTCGCATTCTTGTTTTGCCCATCGCACTGCGTGTTGAAACAACTGGCTTTCTTTCAGTCCTAGTGTGTCACGTTTTAAAACAGCTAACAATGTATTGTAATCAATATCCGTAAAACCTTCGGCATTAAAACTTTCAAACGTATTCTTATCAATACATTCCAAACATCTAGTTGCTAACTGTGACTCGTCAAATAATCTCGCCTGTGTCAACAGCATGAATGCATTATCAGGACGAAGGTTTTTCTTTAAAAAATCAACGCAAGCATCTTCCATAATCGGCACTACGTATTTTTTAGCTGCATATAATGTAGTCATGACAGTTTCTGGGCCGATTTGGATCTCGTCTGTATATAAGAATTTTAGGAGAGCAAGAAAAGCTGATGATTCTACATCAGGCAGTTCTACATCATCATTTGGGCTTGCTATACCACCATTGAACATTGCATCAAAGACAGCGCTTCCCATTGAGAGGACAAACCGATGTGCAGGAATACGTCGTCTTTGCGAACCCTTGCCAACGATAAAATGAACATCACAGAGTATTTCATTATTGAACAAAAACTTTACTCTATCGTAGACATTAGTTTTTCCTGCTTGCCAATTGTACGGTTGTGTAGACATACTGTTTCTTGCGATTGTTTGATACGCGACATATTGATTTTCCGTAATGGAAATATCGAATCAAACTAATCTTTCTGGGTTATAAGCCCATGTTACGGGTCACGGAATATATAATTAGAATCGCGGAAATATATAACACAGTGTTTCCAGTTTTCTGTGTTTCCATGTTTCTATGTTTCTTATTTCTATGGTTCTAGTTTCTATGTTTCTATGTTTCTACGTTTCTGTGTTTCTATGTTTCTGTGTTTCTATGTTTCCAGGTTTCTACGTTTCTGTGTTTCTATGTTTCTGTGTTTCTGTGTTTCTGTGTTTCTGTGTTTCTGTGTTTCTGTGTTTCTGTGTTTCTGTGTTTCTGTGTTTCTGTGTTTCTACGTTTCTACGTTTCTACGTTTCTGTGTTTCTGTGTTTCTGTGTTTCTGTGTTTCTGTGTTTCTGTGTTTCTGTGTTTCTGTGTTTCTACATTTCTACGTTTCTGTGTTTCTATGTTTCTACATTTCTATGTTTCTGTGTTTCCATGTTTCTATGTTTCTGTGTTTCTGTGTTTCTATGTTTCTATGTTTCTATGTTTCTATGTTTCTATGTTTCTATGTTTCTATGTTTCTATGTTTCTATGTTTCTATGTTTCTATGTTTCTATGTTTCTATGTTTCTGTGTTTCTACATTTCTACGTTTCTGTGTTTCTATGTTTCTACATTTCTATGTTTCTGTGTTTCCATGTTTCTATGTTTCTGTGTTTCTGTGTTTCTGTGTTTCTGTGTTTCTGTGTTTCTGTGTTTCTGTGTTTCTACGTTTCTACGTTTCTACGTTTCTGTTCTGTGTTTCTACATTTCTATGTTTCTGTGTTTCTGTGTTTCTGTGTTTCTATGTTTCTATGTTTCTACGTTTCTGTGTTTCTATGTTTCTGTGTTTCTATGTTTCCAGGTTTCTACGTTTCTGTGTTTCTATGTTTCTGTGTTTCTGTGTTTCTGTGTTTCTGTGTTTCTGTGTTTCTGTGTTTCTGTGTTTCTGTGTTTCTGTGTTTCTGTGTTTCTACGTTTCTACGTTTCTGTGTTTCTACGTTTCTACGTTTCTACGTTTCTGTGTTTCTGTGTTTCTACATTTCTATGTTTCTGTGTTTCTGTGTTTCTGTGTTTCTGTGTTTCTGTGTTTCTGTGTTTCTACGTTTCTACGTTACTACGTTTCTGTGTTTCTGTGTTTCCATGTTTCTGTGTTTCTGTGTTTCTGTGTTTCTACATTTCTACGTTTCTATGTTTCTATGTTTCTATGTTTCTATGTTTCTATGTTTCTATGTTTCTATGTTTCTATGTTTCTATGTTTCTATGTTTCTATGTTTCTATGTTTCTATGTTTCTATGTTTCTATGTTTCTATGTTTCTGTGTTTCTACATTTCTATGTTTCTACGTTTCTGTGTTTCTGTGTTTCTGTGTTTCTACGTTTCTACGTTTCTGTGTTTCTGTGTTTCCATCATTTCTGTGTTTCTACATTTCTACGTTTCTACGTTTCTACGTTTCTGTGTTTCTACGTTTCTGTGTTTCTGTGTTTCTATGTTTCTCTGTTTCTATGTTTCTATGTTTCTGTGTTTCTACATTTCTACGTTTCTGTGTTTCTACATTTCTATGTTTCTACGTTTCTGTGTTTCTATGTTTCTGTGTTTCTACATTTCTATGTTTCTGTGTTTCTATGTTTCTGTGTTTCTACATTTCTACGTTTCTACGTTTCTGTGTTTCTGTGTTTCTACATTTCTGTGTTTCTGTGTTTCTGTGTTTCTGTGTTTCTGTGTTTCTGTGTTTCTGTGTTTCCATGTTTCTACGTTTCTGTGTTTCTGTGTTTCCATGTTTCTGTGTTTCTGTGTTTCTACATTTCTACGTTTCTGTGTTTCTATGTTTCTATGTTTCTGTGTTTCTACATTTCTATGTTTCTACGTTTCTGTGTTCCTGTGTTTCTATGTTTCTGTGTTTCTGTGTTTCTATGTTTCTATGTTTCTATGTTTCTATGTTTCTATGTTTCTATGTTTCTATGTTTCTATGTTTCTATGTTTCTATGTTTCTATGTTTCTATGTTTCTATGTTTCTATGTTTCTATGTTTCTATGTTTCTATGTTTCTATGTTTCTGTGTTTCTACATTTCTATGTTTCTACGTTTCTGTGTTTCTGTGTTTCTGTGTTTCTGTGTTTCTGTGTTTCTGTGTTTCTGTGTTTCTGTGTTTCTGTGTTTCTGTGTTTCTACATTTCTATGTTTCTACGTTTCTGTGTTTCTGTGTTTCTGTGTTTCTGTGTTTCTGTGTTTCTATGTTTCTACGTTTCTGTGTTTCTACATTTCTACGTTTCTACGTTTCTGTGTTTCTACATTTCTATGTTTCTATGTTTCTATGTTTCTATGTTTCTGTGTTTCTATGTTTCTGTGTTTCTACATTTCTACGTTTCTACGTTTCTGTGTTTCTACATTTCTATGTTTCTATGTTTCTGTGTTTCTGTGTTTCTGTGTTTCTGTGTTTCTGTGTTTCTGTGTTTGTATGTTTCTATGTTTCTATGTTTCTGTGTTTCTACATTTCTATGTTTCTGTGTTTCCATGTTTCTATGTTTCTGTGTTTCTGTGTTTCTATGTTTCTATGTTTCTATGTTTCTATGTTTCTATGTTTCCATGTTTCTATGTTTCTGTGTTTCTGTGTTTCTGTGTTTCTGTGTTTCTGTGTTTCTATGTTTCCATGTTTCTATGTTTCTGTGTTTCTATGTTTCTGTGTTTCTGTGTTTCTGTGTTTCTGTGTTTCTGTGTTTCTGTGTTTCTGTGTTTCTGTGTTTCTGTTTTCTACGTTTCTACGTTTCTGTGTTTCTGTGTTTCTGTGTTTCTGTGTTTCTGTGTTTCCATGTTTCTGTGTTTCTACATTTCTACGTTTCTACGTTTCTACGTTTCTACGTTTCTGTGTTTCTACGTTTCTGTGTTTCTGTGTTTCTATGTTTCTCTGTTTCTATGTTTCTACGTTTTTGTGTTTCTAGATTTCTATGTTTCTATATTTCTATGTTTCTGTGTTTTTGTTATTCGATGTTTCTATCTTTTGGGTTGTCTGGCGTCAGTACAAGTAAAATATCATAGTGCCACAAAGGGTGTTACAGTGTTGATGAGATTTATATTTCCAAGTGCTTGTTTTGCAATTTGATTTGTTGCTGACGTGGCAAAATTTTCCCCCTATTGTACGCGGGTAGTAGGCGTAGTAAGTCGTCTAGTTGCATTCCGACTAACAAGTAAAATGTATTTGTAAAATACCAAATTGGTGTTACAGGGTTAATGTACGACACTGACTGCGACGGTGTAAATACAACCAGTAATTTTGTAGAAAACTAACAAATATTTTTAATTTAACATAATAGGATTCTTACAAGCGGAAAGCTCGACAAACCGCCATCACGCATTAGGTGATTATAGTGTAGCCGAGGTAGCTTTACCATTTTCAATAATCACTGGTTGTATTTACACTAAATAGATATAACGATATTGTTTTAGTTAATATTTCTTAGTATATATTTACTAACTAAAGTTACTTCTTGTTTAAATTTTTCCGAATTTGTTCCAGAGTTTTATCAAACAAGGGCAAATTACACAAAAAATCGTGTTGTGTAACCAGTCCAATTAATTTGGTGTAAATCTTCTTAACGTCACTGCTATAATCATTAGAAATATTTCCATTTAGTCCTTTCAATGTAACATAAATAATCATTACTATTAAAAACTCTAGGCGATTGAACGGTTCTTCAATTTGGGAGTTTGTGCGTTCCTCGTAGAAAATGCGAGAGCTTTTGAATGGCGATGATTGAATTTGTTGTTTTTTTCGATTGCCTGATTTTCGCTTTCCCTTGACATTTTCAGAACTGATTACTCTGCAACTACCATTTTCCCCACAATGACCTTTGCATTTACACTTGTGCCAGCAACTCCCATAACGTGGTATGCACTTGCATCGGCTCTTATAGGCGCATTTTTTCCCAGGTCCATTCATCTTTGACCTGCCGGCGTTTATTCCACACCGACACGCTCCCCTATTTGAATTATCTGTCTTTTCTTTGTTTAATAAAACGCGGCCATTATCGTGGATTTCATTATTGTTCTCCTCAGCGTGTTGGTTTTTATGAACTAAGGCATCATAATGACCTGGTCCACCATGGTTAAATGTTAACAATATTGCTTCTCCATTCCCAATAGACGAACGAGGGTATATTTCATAAAATGGAACAAGATTTTGCGTTGATAGCACTAGTATCGGTATCTGCAAGACGTTGGACAAACCAAGTGGCATCAGGTCCCCGATAGTGGAAGCGAATACACCCGAATTTAAAAAAGCATGTGCTTGTTGCTGAAAGTCGACGTCCTCACCCACAAATTGCTGGTATTCTTCAGTGAAAGGTCCTGTCCACTCTGCGACAAGATGGCTTCGCAAAATATCACTTATTGCGGGAACAGAGACTGCTGATGAGATCCCCAAAGTATACAAATGCTCTCTAACATGCGTCTGCAAATCACATCTACTCAATAACTGCGAAACTTGAAATGCGACTGAATTAAAAAAGCAGTTCCCATCTCCTGCAATTCTGACGACTTCTAGACCCCACTGGCTTGCGATGGAGTTAATTTCTTGCTCGATGGTTTCCACAGAGCTGTCTTGTTGTACTTGTTTCGTGGTGAGAAGATGACGTGGCACCTCTGTTGGCAAGGTACGTGCATAGATTTTTTTCGCTTTCCAACTATCTCCCTGATAGATTCGGATGATCTCCAAAATGATAGCCCTTGCTTTAAGTACTCCAATGTGTCGTACTCTTCCTTCTCAGATCTTTCCGAGTAGTCATGTTCGGCCACAATCCATTTACATTTGATATTCCTTTGCAAAATGGAAATGCCATCCAAAATTTCTTCTACTTCCTTACGCGAATAACTTTCAAGTCCCTTAACCTTGCGTGCTGGTCGTTGATTGTTTTCGGATCTCTCTATCTCTTCCAGACACCTTTCTACTCCAAAATATTCTAATTTTTGTCCATATTCAGTTATCAGAATGTGTTCATTCTTTTGAGTTTTTGTCACTTGGATAGATGACATTTCTTTCTCGTTTTCTTGGGCCAACCTGTACAACATTCTAAACATTTTCGTATATAACAATGGAAGCCCTATGCGGTTGGTTGCAACAATTTTCTTTAAATCCCTATGAAGCCTTTCATTTTTGTTTGTTCCACACCCAACAGGTATGTCCGACAAACAACCCTTATTTATGTGAACCTGAATGTTTTTTATTTCCTTCAACATTTCTTTAGTAAGAACACTCAATCCAGCTGCATTTTTTACAGATTCCCATTTATTGCTAAATTTTTCTAAGTTTTTCGAAATAACGTCAGGCGAAGGCGAAGGCCTAGACCTTTTTTTCCCGATGTCTCCTGGTTGACGGAAAACTAAGCCATATTCTTTAGCCATGCCAGACGAGTATTTCGAACACTTTGGTATTTTACGCACTAATCTTTGCACTGCGTGGAATATGTCTAGCTTAATGGGTACACCGGGAAAATGCTTGCTTAAAAATGATGTCCATTTGCAACAGTTATCGAGGAATATTCCTTCTAAAATGTTATTTTGTGTCAGAAATCTTTTCGAAAGTTGTTGAAACAAATTTTCAAGCTCAGCTGTTCCTTCCGTTTTAGTAAATTTCCACTGGATAACTGTGCCTTTTTCATTTAATACGCAAAATAGGCTTTGAAATAATTTTACCCACTTATTATCACTTTCGCGTAAATATCCGATATTCGAAGTTGCTTTAAATGTGTGATCGCAACTAATCCATCTTGCAGGAATTGTTGAAAAAAAATGCCGATAAAATACTTCTTCTGACTTAAATCTGGAAATGATTGCACCCCCAACTAGCGTATGTCCTACGCATGGTAGGTCCATTTGTTCGAACGTTGGGAAATTTTGACTTACTTCTTTTGTTAGGCCAATGTTTATAGCAATGTTATGATCACGGTAATAACGTTGCGCTCGTTCATAAAATGCTTTTTTGTAACATCGCTGTATAATTTCGCAGATCTGATTAGAGCTAAGACCTGCATCAAGTAGCTCTTCCAGATAATCGACAAGTCGATTTGTGAAACCTGACTTATGACTTAAAGTGAATGGTACATTATAGTTATTCACTTGTTTTACGACGTCCACATCTATGCTATTTATTTCAGTATGGCCTAGATCACATGAGTACTGCTTGTATACCAGTAATACGGGAGAGGTAAGGCCAAATATGATACGCGGATTTAGTCTTTGCAGTCGCCCATTTTTCCAAACTCCTGTGTTAACTAGGTGACCCTTTCGATTATTTTCACACATTTTATCGTCTGTTTCACACTTAGGACAAAGTATTGTATTTCCTTCAAGTAAAGCATTAAATTGGCACAGAGGGTCAAAAAGAATGTACGGAAGGACACAATACGACTTTGGATCATTTACCCACGTTTCATCCAAACTTGGAAATATATCGTACCTGATATCAGGGGGTTCCATAGTATGCTCCGTATGGTATTTAAGATCAGCAGCTTTGGTTGCAGACTCGATGCATTTTTTGACATATCCATTGATATCGTACCCCACAGTTAACGTAGGCTTCGCTATTGACAATAGAACGATAATAAGTGAACAAAAATAGAACGCTTTCATCCTGATCGTTGTGTTTTCATTATACATGAATAACCATTTTTATCGTTTTTATATCATCTATTTATGCTGCATATACGGAAATGGGAATAATCTGGTTAAATTAAAGATTCCATTGGCGTCGACACACAAATTGCTGCTGGCCATTGACCACCTTTTTTTATATTGCATTTGCTCCATTACCTGTCGGTCTTTTAGATAGGGCACCAAGTTCTCATATCAGAGTTGTAATTATCGTCGGCAAGGCGTGTCTCCTTGGGGGTACACCTTGCCATAACTGAGTCTATTTATAAAATCACATTATATAAATTTCGTATTTTCTTCGTAAATATTTTGTATTAGTTAATGTGATTTATTTACGTATAGAAATATTGCAAGCCATGGATTTTGCATAGCCCTCACCGCAGCTCAGTTTTCTGAGCATCAATACTGACACATTAAATCTCACACAATTTTAGGATAATTTTGGCTGGAAGTAATGGTTTCCCAGCCGGTTTATTTCCGTCAAACAAGATGATATTTATATGAATACATTCCAACAAAATTCCAAATATTCATGCTCAGAAAAGGGTGGAGGTGAATTACCGCCAGCACCTGTACAAGTACGCCTGAAGTAAAATAGTTAATTGAGATATTCTATAATTGTCAATTGAGGTCCTCTATGTATCAGCTATTGCAAATCATGCAATTTGCATAATTGCTAGAGGAGGAGGTGGGTTGAACTTTAAACGAGCTCTATTTTCTGCGATGTCACGCTTACACTGACCGATTGTGTTTTGGGTATTCGGTCTTGTTAGTTTTCAAATTGCTGCTGGCCATTAACCACCTTTTTTTATATTGCATTCGCTCCATTACCTGTCGGTCTTTTAGATAGGGCACCAAGTTCTCATACCAGAGTTGTAATTATCGTCGGCAAGGCGTGTCTCCTTGGGGGTACACCTTGCCATAACTGAGTCTATTTATAAAATCACATTATATAAATTTCGTATTTTCTTCGTAAATATTTTGTATTAGTTAATGTGATTTATTTACGTATAGAAATATTGCAAGCCATGGATTTTGCATAGCCCTCACCGCAGCTCAGTTTTCTGAGCATCAATACTGACACATTAAATCTCACACAATTTTAGGATAATTTTGGCTGGAAGTAATGGTTTCCTAGCCGGTTTATTTCCGTCAAACAAGATGATTTATATGAATACATTCCAACAAAATTCCAAATATTCATGCTCAGAAAAGGGTGGAGGTGAATTACCGCCAGCACCTGTACAAGTACGCCTGAAGTAAAATAGTTAATTGAGATATTCTATAATTGTCAATTGAGGTCCTCTATGTATCAGCTATTGCAAATCATGCAATTTGCATAATTGCTAGTGGAGGAGGTGGGTTGAACTTTAAACGAGCTCTATTTTCTGCGATGTCACGCTTACACTGACCGATTGTGTTTTGGGTATTCGGTCTTGTTAGTTTTCAAATTGCTGCTGGCCATTAACCACCTTTTTTATATTGCATTCGCTCCATTACCTGTCGGTCTTTTAGATAGGGCACCAAGTTCTCATACCAGAGTTGTAATTATCGTCGGCAAGGCGTGTCTCCTTGGGGGTACACCTTGCCATAACTGAGTCTATTTATAAAATCACATTATATAAATTTCGTATTTTCTTCGTAAATATTTTGTTTTATATCATAGTAAGCGCACACGTATTTCGTGGTTTTAATGCAAGTGCACAATTAAGTACAAACGGTGCGATGGAGTTTGACAAATGAAGGTTTTCGAAAGAAACACAGCATTGCAAGTTATTAGATTCGATAAAATACTACACTAATCATAATATGTAGTAATCGTTATATCATTATGTAGGAGAACGGTGATCAGGAAAATTTCCACAGACGATATTCGAATGCAACTAGACTAAATTTGCATGATGCGCGCATTCAAGCTCCCCAGAAATATAACACGATTTTTGAATTGGCGTTCATGATTTTACAAAATTAATCCGCCATAATCTAAAAGATCTATAAGAGGATTAGTCGAGGACGTGCGAACACACACCTTTTAATAATTGCTAATTGAATAATACAGTTTCGAAATAATGCAGACAAAATTTGACAGCTCTCACTGTTATAAAACCCGCGCCATTTGCAGTATCCTTCAATTGTACACTTCGAAAGGTAAGGATATGTCAGGCAACTTTTCTACATTAATGTCCAGTAAAATGTGTAGTTTTCGCAGCTTCTAAACCTTATTCAACATTCTTCTGTTTTATAGATTGGTTGACTTGTATGTTTGTAAAAGCTACGCTCCTTTTCTAATCGCTTGTAAAGAGGTAAGGTTCTAAAGTTAGTACCTATAAATAGCAGCTCGAACAACATAAATTTTAGGCTAGCTATATAATGTATATGCACCATTTTAAATTTGCGGTCGGGCCCTAAAAAAAAATTCCGGACATACAATAAATTTGGAAAAGAGACTTTGTTATATGTTATTGTAGTTTCCGCACCATTAAAAGACTGAACATCGGCGAGAATTATGACCGAGCTTTTAGAATAGTGATTAAAAGTTTAACTCCGTATAACCAAAGGACACAAAATTGTTGTAAAACGTTCGTCAACTACTAGATTTGACTTCTGGGAGTCGGTCACTGTGATTACTATATAATAGCGAATATTTTATTGTAGATTTTTATGATGTCTTCGAGAAGAACGATATTTCCAATTACCACGCCCGCTGTGAATGAATGCCAGCTCGCGAACGCCATCAAGATGGCTCGGGCGATTAAATTCCCACTGGAAGTTTTCCCGGAGCCAATAACTGAATGGCTGATGGCATTGGCATTTTCCGTGAACACACGGCCAGAATTCATATTGATTGCGGCTATTTCGGTTGTGTCCACTTTGATGGGTCCGAAAACTAAATTAAAGATTCGGAACCGTTATCGGGAGCCGTGCAATCTGTTTACCGTGTGTTTGAGTGAACCTGGGGCCGGAAAATCGCAAGCGTTTGAGATTGCTGTGGAGAGTCCAATCCGCGCGTTGAAGGAGCCAGCTCATTCGATGGTCATCCATGACTTCACGCGGAAAGGACTCTTCCAGCACCTCGTCTCTCACGATGGTAGAGCTCTATTGGCTCATTCTGAAATGAGTTCGTTTTACGAATTCATTTTGAAGAAGCAACAAGAGGGCTCAGGTGAGAGACAGTTATTTTGCAGGCTTTACGATGGCATTGCTGAATGGGCACTAACAAGTGCGTGCACGAATAACAGCAGTTCCGCTGGTAAAGTCGAGAAACGGGAGCGGCGTGAGGTCCTTCTAGAAAGCACTTTGGCCCTTGGTGGGTTCACTCAGCCCGAACCATTTCTGCAGCTGTTTAAACCCCTAGCCAAAACCAAGGATGGGTTTCTTGATAGAATTTTGATATGTTCAATAAAACCTCGCTTGTTACTCGAAGAAGAAGTGGAACAATGGTGTGAAAAACTGGAAGAATACACTACACAAGAGTTCTCCGGTGAGTCGCCTATGTATGTATGCATTTATGCCGTGTGTATGTATGTTTTTATGCATATAGGTATGTTGTATGTATGTAAACTTTACTCGAAATAACCAACAATTTTTTTTTCAGGCGTATATAAGACAATATTCGACAAGCATGAGAACGGTGTCGAGTATTGTTACTCACCTGAGGCAAAAGAGAAGTATACTGAGTACGCCAATAATCTCTCCAAGAATATGAATGCCCAGTGGGATGAAGAAAGCATTTGTACGGAGAACTTTTCCAAGGACAAAAAAAATTTTATAAGGTATAATAACTATTATGCAGGCAATGCGGTATTGAACACTCGAATACGATATTTAAAATACCATTCTATTACCGGAACACCTTAAAATTGCGGAACCAATTTAGATGAAACAGCGCTCGTGGGACATCTTCAGTTGATGAAATAAAGCTAAAAGCATCATTATTATTAGAAAAAAGCCAATCAGGGCGTAACCTGTATGGATATATTAATTTCAAGCCTCATCATTATTAACATTAACCATCCAATTTAAGCCCAATTTTGAAACGTATATTTTCTAGGATATCATGCGTTCTCCACGTCCTCTTGTCTGTCCTCAGTCATTTTATTGACAATGAGAAAGACGGCGAAGAATGTGATATTGAAAAGGAGATTCCGCGAAACATATTAAGTATTGCAGAGGCAGTCATGGAATATTTTGGAGATCAGCGAAAGGCCTTTATGACGGTATGTATATATATATATATATATATATATATATATATATATATATATATATATATATATATATATATATTTTTTTTTTTTTTTCTATCTTCTAGTTGATAAAACCTGTTTCCAAGGAAAACTCCCGTTCATCATCAACAATTCCGGATGATACAGGATCATCGTCTTCCAGCGAAATCATAAATGCATTCGGGCAGTGGTTTGTGGGCAGGTGTAAAGACTATTCCGAAGAATGTGTAAGTATCCGTTCGATGCATGTTTCTGATACATGAATTTTCGAAGAATGAACTTAGATTGTGATCCGGTATCTGCCCAATAGTCGGTTACATGTGACTATAGGAAAAATAAAACTCTTTTATGATAAATTGATAATTTCATGCAGTCATTTTCAAAACAGTACTTCATTTAAACATCAATAGTTCAAAATTGCACGAATTAATACAAATATTTCAGTAATGAAAATTAACTTTTGTTAAAAAATGTTAACCTTAGTAAATTCAGCAAAAGATTGATGAGCTTCTTTCTTATCTTTAGATCAGTAAATTTGCCAGAGAAAAGAAAAAGGCGGGTGATAAGGAGCCTAGCAGTATCGCTATACGGATAGAAAGCATTCCGGACGATGGTGGTCAGCCAATCATAGTAGACAAAAGCGAACTAAAAAAAGCAGTCGTGAAAGAAGGAGGGCAGGATCGAGACACATCTTATTTCTTAAATCAGGACGGAAAAAAACAAAAGGCTGGTTGTTTGTCAATTCCATTGGCATCGTTCACAGCACCCCTGAAGCACCAGGTGTTACAAGGTTGGTTTACGACGGGTTGTATAAGTTAAAAAAAATATATAACACATATATATTATATGTTCAAATTGATTTCTAATTCAAGTTGGTATTTTAAAGTACGTTTAAAAACACAAGAAACTCAGTGTTTCATGCACTCAAGATATCCCAATATCTATTGTTTTCACAATGTATTCGCATGCTCGTTGCCATTCGTGTGGAAACAAACAAATTAGAACATTCTAAATGATTTGTTACAGTTCTCAAAGGTCTGAAGCTTGACACATTGCCACAAGAAATTGGTTCCGGTGACAAGAAAGCGGAGGAATGTAAGCAACATAAATCCATACTGCAATTATTCCCTGTACAAAATCTATTTTGAAAAATTTTTAAATTGCTGCAAAATATGAAAGGGAACAATGACCTTAAATCGTTGTCATGTTATTAAAGGTTTGTCTGATGAAGATGAAAATGAAGGAACTGCAACTGACATGAGTGAGCATGACACAGGTAACCGATCAAAAATCTAGTATTTGTATCATAAACCGTATAATAAAACATAGTTCTATATATACTAAATGCATGAATGTTTTACGCTTTGTTGAGTGCCATTTTCTGACGTGTGTGTTGGGGTGTATTTCATTTTGAAAGAGATATTTTTCGTATTTTATTTAAAAGTTTTCCTGCTTCGATTATTTACTGTAGTGGGCAGACAAACTCAAATGTTATTGGATCCATTGAAGACGAAAATAAAGAAACAGAAACGACGATAGATATGAGTGAGCATGACACAGGTAACCGATCAAAAATCTAGTATTTGTATCATAAAACTGTATAATAAAACAATAGTTCTATATATACTAAATGCATGAATGTTTTCACGCTTTGTTGAGTGCCATTTCCTGACGTGTGTGTTGGGGGTGTCATTTTGATAATACGTGTCTGTCGTGTCATCAATGCAATGTCGGATGCTTCAAGAGATATTATTCGTATTTTATTTTAAAGTTTTCCTGCTTCGATTATTTACTGTGGGCAGACAAACTCAAATGTCAATTGGATCCATTGAAGACGAAAATAAAGAAACAGAAACGACGATAGATATGAGTGAGCATGACACAGGTAACCGATTGGAAATCTAGTATTTGTATCATAAAACCGTATAATAAAACTATAGTTCTATATATACTAAATGCATGAATGTTTTCACGCTTTGTTGAGTGCCATTTTCTGACGTGTGTGTTGGGGATGTATTTCATTTTGAAAATACGTGTCTGTCGTGTCATCAATGCAATGTCGGATGCTTCAAAAGATTCGTATTTTACTTAAAAGTTTTCCTGCTTCGATTATTTACTGTAGTGTGCAGACAAACACAAATGTCAACTGGATCCAATGAAGACGAAAATGAAGAAACTGAAACGACGATAGATATGAGTGAAAATGACAGGGGTAACCGATCGGAAATCTAATTTATATACCAATCGTTATAAATCTTCTTTTTCTAAACATCATATATTTTAGGTAAATCGGACCGATCAAAACGAGAGATGAAAAAATTAACAGACGCCTTGTCGAAGAATGACAGGCCAAGCAAACGCAAAAGACGAAAAATGCCAAATGACATTTTACTTTTTTTTTATACTCATTGTTAAGATTGTTAATTAATTGTTACGGCTGTACAATTACCTATAATGGGCAGAGTGATGTAATTATGCCTTTTCAGGGAAAAATCAAATGTAAAAAACATTTATTAAATATAAACTTATCTGGCAGATCGATGATCATCTAAATCAGACTAAAGTAGCCGTAACGGTTTTGAAGAATAAAATGTTTCAAGAAAAGAATAAGGAAAAACGACACAGAAACACCGAAACACAGAAACATAGAAACATAGAAACACAGAACACATGGAAACACAGAAACATAGAAACACAGAAACATAGAAACATAGAACACACAGAAACATAGAAACATAGAAACGCAGAACACAGAAACACAGAAACATGCAGAAACATAGAAATGTAGAAACACAGAAACGTAGAAACGTAGAAATGTAGAAACACAGAAACATAGAAACATAGAACATAGAAACATAGAAACATAGAGAAACATAGAAACATAGAACATAGAAACATAACATAGAAACATAGAAACATAGAAACATAGAAACATAGAAACACAAAACGTAGAAATGTAGAAACACAGAAACATGGAAACACAGAAACATAGAAATGTAGAAACACAGAAACGTAGAAATGTAGAAACACAGAAACATAGAAACAGAAACAGAGAAACACAGAAACGTAGAAAACAGAAACGTAGAAACGTAGAAAACGTAGAACGACAGAAACATGGAAACACAGAAACACAGAAACGTAAACGTAGAAACACAGAAACACAGAAACACGAAACACAGAAACGTAGAAACATAGAAATGTAGACACAGACATAGAACATAGAAACAGAACAGCATAGAAACATAGAAACATAGAACATAGAAAACATAGAAACATAGAAACATAGAAACATAGAAACTAGACATAGAAACATAGAAACATAGAAACATAGAAACATAGAAACATAGAAACATAGAAACATAGAAACATAGAAACATAGAAACATAGAAACATAGAAACATAGAAACATAGAAACATAGAAACATAGAAACATAGAAACATAGAAACATAGAAACATAGAAACACAGAAACGTAGAAAGGTAGAAACACAGAAACACAGAAACATGGAAACACAGAAACACAGAAACGTAGAAACATAGAAACACAGAAACACAGAAACACAGAAACACAGAAACACAGAAACACAGAAACACAGAAACACAGAAACACAGAAATATAGAAACATAGAAACATAGAAACATAGAAACACAGAAACACAGAAACATAGAAACATAGAAATGTAGAAACACAGAAACACAGAAACGTAGAAACATAGAAACAAAGAAACACAGAAACACAGAAACATAGAAACATAGAAACATAGAAACATGGAAACATAGAAACATAGAAACACAGAAACGTAGAAACATAGAAATGTAGAAACACAGAAACGTAGAAATGTAGAAACACAGAAACATAGAAACATAGAAACAGAGAAACATAGAAACACAGAAACATGGAAACACAGAAACACAGAAACGTAGAAACATAGAAAAACAGAAACACAGAAACACAGAAACACAGAAACACAGAAACACAGAAACACAGAAACACAGAAATATAGAAACATAGAAACATAGAAACACAGAAACACAGAAACATAGAAACATAGAAATGTAGAAACACAGAAACACAGAAACGTAGAAACGTAGAAACATAGAAACAAAGAAACACAGAAACATAGAAACATGGAAACATAGAAACATAGAAACACAGAAACGTAGAAACATAGAAATGTAGAAACACAGAAACGTAGAAATGTAGAAACACAGAAACATAGAAACACAGAAACACAGAAACGTAGAAACATAGAAAAACAGAAACACAGAAACACAGAAACACAGAAACACAGAAACACAGAAACACAGAA